AAAAATACCATCCAAGCTTTAACCAAAAACATATAAATCATAGTTTCAAACTTTATACAAAATTAAGAAATGCCAACAAATTTTATAGCCCATACAATTTTAGTCTAATTAAGTGCAAGTTTCAACCGGCTAAAAAATCACGATGATTTTTGAGAATTATTATTTTTTTTGAAGATTGCTTTTGCGGTTTTTTTTTAAATAACAAGTGCAATTTCCAAAAATTGGCGCTGATTTTTTTAAAATTTTTTTTTGCTAACGGTCTCCTGTATTTTATTTCACAAGAAATTTATGTTTAGATAGAAAATATGCAAAAATCCATCACAAAAAAAAATGCTCAAAAATCAACAGGACTTTTTAGACATTTGAAACTTGCACTTCATTAGACTAAGATTGAATGAGCTATAAAACTGCATACACAAAATTGTTCTAAAGTTGAAATTTTGATTATAATTTGTTGACTTTTCCTAAATTTTGTATAAAGTTTGAACCATTAATTTATATGGTTTTGGTTTAAGATTGGACGGTGTTTTTATAGAAAAATAACAAAAACAAATTAGCTTGAAAAACATTCCGAATACTGAAAAAACCCCAACCACTAATAAGAGATTGTCTTGAAAAATGTTCTTTTTTTAATTGCTTCTTTATTTGCATATTCAGCAATGTGCCATTTTGTAAATTTTTTCAAAATTCTCGTACACATTTAAAACCAAACTTATTTGAAACATCGATCTTTTCGCTATAATAGAGGTATTATTACCTATTTTACATAACGTTCTGTTACGAGATATATATGTACAATAAAAGTTATCCAGTAACTTATTAGAATTTTACAACCTGCGCTCTCAAAGAGAAAACCCCACAAAAAATTAGGTGAACGCAAAACCAGAACAATTTGTTAATTTGTTGCTTATTCGCTTATTCCCCGCAATTTGCTAATAAAAACAGTTGCTCATATCTTATAGTTGCATTCGCATACCTGATAATTATTGATTGTTATCAAAAATTATCAGCTTTTGGCGTTCGCGTACGCAAAAGACTTGTAAAGTAGGGGAAATTGTGAAAACAAAGTGACATTTTATTTTGAAGGGAAGTGAATAATTTCTGCAGGAAAAATTTTTGCCAGTAGTAATTTCCCAGCAAGAAAACCGCTGATTGGTATTTACGCAAACCGCAAAATTGAATTTGAAGGTTTGGAAGTTTAAAATTGTAAAATACGACTAATTATACTTGATGATAAAAGTGTTAATTTCGTCACTTAACTGTATCATTTTTTGAATGCAAACCAAAATTCTATCAGCTGTTTGGCTAACTTGGAACTTTCTGCAAACTTTTTCTTCGCGTAGATACTATTCTAATTCGCCAGAATTTCGCTTCTGGATATTTTTTACTGGAGATTTTAAATGAACGTACCTTTTTTTAATCACAACTATAAAAATACGATAAAAAAGTCCTTTATGTCTTTCTCACTGGCAAATTGTTACAAGTTAAAATTTAATTTTTAGTTTTTTTTGTTTACATGAACACAAAAACGTGAAAATTTTTGATAATTGTTACAAATTATTTGCTACATGAACAGACATATTGAAAAAAACTCGAAAATTGCGCTTGCGTTGCACAAAGGACCGTACGGATAAGGTGCATATTACCACTCCGTAGGAACTGGGTTCGATTCCAACTCTAAATTAGAAATGGTTTTGCCCAACAACAGTCGGGCTTCGTCAGGCAATAGCAAACGTGCCAGTGTGTTTCTGCCATGGAAAATCTTCTCATAAAATCCATTTGCCTTTCGGAGGCGGCGTAAAACTGTAGACTCACACCACAACTTGGAGGAGAAGCGCGGCCAAATACATAGCAAAATGTGCATTAGGATAATCCAAAACAAAAGTAAATTCAGAATTTGAATGTTCTCACCCTTTAGGATTGTTCTATACTGAGAAAAATATACTCCTTTTTTTCTTCGGAAATCAATGTATATTTAGATAAATGATATAGAATTCTTGAAACTCAAAAACTCTGTTTCTCTTCAGAAGACTTCCAATAAAATATTACCTAATGGTTTATTTAACTACTTTAAATATTAAATATTTTGTATAGGTTCCTCAAAAACCACAAAAAAGCAATGTGGGATGCGTGTGATGTGGGGTATAACTTTGAAATCCGACCTAGAAGATAATTTATATAGGCCTTCCTAAAAGGCTTACACAAGGGCTAAAAAAGAGAATTTGCTGCATTGAAATTTTCAGTATGCTTTTTATTATTTAACGAAGCAGTTTCTTCAAAAAGGCCTTCTGAAGTACGTCCTACAAAAGCTTTTCCGGAAGCCTTTCTAAGAGTAGCAAAAGCAGAAGCCCTTCACTTTGTGCCACTCTAACCAATAAGGAAAGGAGAAAAGAATGTAGACTGGAAGGCCTCTAGTCTCTAAGAGAGTCCTTTTAGAAGGGCTTTAAGCTCCTGAAACTATTCACTGGGAATGGCAAATTCTACCAACAAGCGGTAAACGAGGTTAACATTATAATCATCAACAAAAGTTAGGTCACAGTTTGAAAAATTGTATTAACAAATCATTTTTGTGAACATTGCAGATACGAGTTTATTGAATATAGACCTTCGATATGTATATTGTCTCCATCAATGCAAAAGGCCCTATTTGACAAATTTGAAATTATTGAAAAGGAATAAAACAACTTTTTAAAGTTACATGGGAATGCTAACCGAGCTACTAATAAATCGTATGTTATTTAAGATATGGCTTTAAATTTTGGTATATCAAGTGGTGTAACGGAATGTTTAATAATGCTAATTTCTTAAAAATTGTACTTTGTGGTTGTGGTGTCGTTTTCAACTGACGGGAAAAGTACAAAATAAAAAAACTGAAAACTAAAGTACCAAATAGAATGATTAACTCGCAGTGTTACATTTTGGATATTAATCAAAAGTGAACTTTAAGTAAAAATGATGTTAAACAGAAATAACTTTTTGCATGCAATCATTACATCTGCAAACATAATCTAATCTATAGGAAAAGTGAAAGAACACTTAATTTACTATTGAAAGATAACAAACAAGACAGGTAATACCGGAACTGCGGCGAAATCAAATTGTATATACCCTGCAGACAAAAAATTATCAATTGATAAAAAATAACCCACTTGTAGTTAGCTTTTATGCGGAATTCCTCTAAAATATATAACTTGTAGTTAGCGACAAAAAGGTAACTTGAAACTAGTTGACAAGTACTGCAGGAGATTGTTTTCTTTAAGCGCGTTTCTATTTAAATATCCTGCACTTCGGAAACACTTTTTCGAATTGAGGACACATAAAAGGAAGATCGAAATTTCATATTATCATTTTGAAGTTATGAGTTCGCATATGGGACCATCTACAGCAGAATATGTAAACAAATATGAAATGTAATAAAATAAAAAAAGTAAATAAAAAATAAAAAAATATATATTTTGTTTATCCTATAGTTAGTTACATCAAATGCAGAGGTAACTATTGACTATTTCGCGGCCATCGCCATAGAAATATAGTTAGCTTTCGTCAAAGAAGATATACAGATAATAGTGACTTTTAGCTCCTTCCTAATCAACTTAAAGTTAGCTTATAGTTAGATACATGTCCTGTAGGGTACTCAGCGCATATTTTAGCTGGAATGCTAGAAAAACAATTCGCAAAAAGTTCTCCCTAACACATTTAAATACGAGAGCAGCTCGAAAACTCAGCGACTTTTTGAATGAAAGATATTTTTTCTATGAGCAGATTATACCAAAATTACAAAGCCGCCAACAACAAGTATGTACATACTTGGTAAGCCCGCAAAATTTCAAGAACTTCCAAAAATAACGAACCATTTTATTATTCTGCCCCTAAAACAATTCCTATTATTCCTTATTTTCCTGAACCGTTTAGTATTTAGTATTTAGCATGTTAAAAAATATAGGAAGGTAGAATCGCTGAGAGACACTTTTAGCATTTTAGTCTGAACGATATCGTGTCGAGATTGTCATGCCTCATAAAAATCAAAAATTGTTTGATCGTTTGTGCGATATCGTCAACTCGACTCCAGTTTTGCTTCACGTAACACGTAACAGTAACACAAATGCATAAATCAGTGTTTTGACAACATCGTTTTGTCAGTATCGTTTGGACGACTATCGTTTCAAAGTTACGTAATTCATGCCCAGTTGCAACAAATGAGTCCATACATATTTATGTACATACATAGGTACAAAGCCGTATGCATGCGCGGAGTTTAAATAATCGGAAGTAATAATCAATTGTAGCGCATTTCCTCTTACAATGCATATGCCTAAATGTATGCAACCATTTAAAAGCAAACACAGGGTGCTTCTAATGAAAATAAAAATGTTATGCTGAAATACACATGCTAAGCCCTTCGAAATTTTGGGCTGGGATATGCGTTACAGCTTCGCAAATTTTACCCCTACCGAAACCAACGATGTATACACATCAAAAACCAGTTGAAAAATAATTGTAGGGTTCCCTCAAAACAAAAAAAAAAACCCAAAACAAATTGGAAGTGTTATAAAAAAGTACAAGTGGCCAAGAGTTCACGTTGATTTTTAATAATTTATTTCGCTAACTTTTCGAGCACATCTTTTTTGTGTTGTGTACTTTAAATACTATTAAAAATCAATACTCATAGCTCTTTATTATTCAAAAATTTCATGATCTATAAAACTGCATACACCAAAACTTTCAATTTTTTTATAACATTCCAAAATTTTTTTGGAATTTTTTCAGAAAAGGTCAAATGTATTTCAGAAAAACTCAAATGTATTTCAGAAAATTCAGTCAGCAAAGAGCTAAATACGTACATATGTACAAAAATTGTGCCTAATTAAGTATTAGTATATATAATATAATTAAAAAATGGAGTTAAGGACAACTGCGCAATTTGCAGGGCCGATATGCGCAGGCAAATGGTGGTTCGCCTACTGCCATGTGGTCACTTATTGCACCAAAAGTGTAGCGGTCCTATTATTGAGTCCAATAAGTGTCCTATATGCCGAGGAGATGTGAATGGTACAAATACACATATGTATATATAAATGGTCTTTAAATAATCATAATTTTATCTTATCGTAAATATGTTTCTATATGTAAAAATTTTTAGAATAATGTGTATATGTTAATCTTCTCCGGTACAGAAAACGAGATTGTAGAACGCAAAAAGTATTCGGTATACAATGAAGTCGACCGCGCACGCATTGTGAGGCTGCCAAAAAAGGGGAAGATTGGAGCAGCTTAGCATCGTCCTTCGGAATCAACTACAAAACGGCATACATTTGGGTGCGATCAGGCAGAGTACAAAGCAAACGAAGAGGAGGAGGGAATGAAAACAGGTTGTCGACACGTTAATACGTTGGGTGGAAGAGGATCCTACTATAACGCTGAAGAATATAGCCGTAAAAGTGCAAGCGGAGTTGCAAAAAGACATTTCCAAGTCTTCCGTGGCTAATTATTTAGATGGTAGGCTGTATACCATTAAAAACGTTCATAATATGCCTGCCAACATGAATTCCGCCGTAAATAAAAACAAACGCGCAGAATTCGTGACAGCGTTGAGCGGATATATACAGCAAGGCAAACAAATTGTATATTTGGACGAAACCAATTTTAATTTGTTTTGCCGTCGGACAAAAGGTCGCGCCCGGTCTGGCACACGAGCGGTTTTAACGCTGCCACCATCAAGGGGACCCAACGTACACCTAATTGGAGCCATCAGTACATACGGTGTACTGAGCATGGAAACGCGGCGCGGGTCATTTAAAAAAGAGAGCGCCGCTAAGTGGGTCCGCGGACTTTTTGAAAAATGGACCAGCATGGGCAACGTGCCATGCTGGACTTGAACAAGTGGTGGGTAGTAATGGGTCACCCACCCTTTTGCGTCTGGGGCCATACTCGCCCATGCTGAACCCCATAGAAAATGTTTGGGCTAAGGTAAAGAATTATGTAAAATCGAATATGGGCGTTGCATCCGCGGACGGACCTGGTGTGGTAGAAAGGCGACTTTAGTATATGGAACAAATAATACTGCAAGCGAAAGAAACCATATCTACTGCTGATTGTGCTCGAGCTATTCAGCACTCATCTATTTTTTTTGCAGATGCTTTGGCATTGCGCGACATGCCTGTTGGCATGTAATAAACATATGTATGTATGTACATCTACATAAATACTTATACATATGTGTATATAAAATCTCGCCGTTACAAGTGTTGCATTATTCAAGTTTATCACTGGTTTATTCAATTGGTCGTAGCAAGAATAGATGGAAGGGTAGAGGTTTAATTTGTAAATGGATTTATAATAATATAATATTATGGCGCTTACAGTTTGCTAAGTATTTGGCCGAGCTTCTCCTCCAGTTGGTGGCGTGCGCCTTGATGTTGTCACACAAAGTGGAGGGACGTATAGTTTTACCCCGCTTCCGAACGGCGAATGCATTTTAGGACAAGCTTTTTCAGGGCAGAAATACACTCGGAGGTTTGCCATTGCAAAGGTTTACCTACACCTTTTCCAACAGTATTTCAGAAAAACACAAATGTATTTCAGAAAAGGCCAAATGTATTTCAGAAAACCTCAAATGTATTTCAGAAAATCTCAAATGTATTTCAGAAAAACCCAAATGTATTTCAGAAAAGCTCAAATGTATTTCAGAAAAACGCAAATGTATTTCAGAAAAGGTCAAATGTATTTCAGAAAAGCGCAAATGTATTTCAGAAAAACACAAATGTATTTCAGAAAAACGCAATTGTATTTCAGAAAAGGCCAAATGTATTTCAGAAAAACGCAAATGTATTTCAGTTTCAAACTCCCGCCCAGCTGTTTCAATTCCTTGCACAACACCTAGCGGATTTATTAGTTTATCAATTTGTAGCAAATTTGCTACAGCCTCATCCAGTGGGTTAAGTAGCAATTGCCCTTTTCTTCTGCCACCTGTTTTACTACATTCCAGCTTATATTTGACAAATTTCTTTTTAACCTTAAATTTTAAGTCTCTCCACACCTGAAAATCCATAACTTTTTAGTTCATTGATTTTTTACGTTATTATTATTGTTATTACCCTTTGCCAACAATCACTATCCCTCAGAGGTGGTCCATGAGCATTCAATAAATTAGTAATATCCTCCCATTGCTGATTAAAAGCGGTTGGATTCACTCCTCTTTGACATCCCTTTACCATACTGGGATTTTTCTCTATCTCAGCTACTAGAAGTTCAAATTGCTGCCCATTTGTAATTTTCAGTTTTTTATCCAATTCTATAATAAAAAAAGTTTACACGTTAATTTATTTTTCGCAAACAAATACATATGTACATTTATATCTACAAACTTTCTTCCCGTTCTATGCGAATGTTAACGATAAGAAAAGAGTTTGTAAACATACAATTATTTTTATTTTTTACTGTATTAAATTTCATATTAACTAATGTTTAATTTATTTTAAGACTAATGGCCTTATTCATAAAAAATAAAGTAGCTTTAAAAAAGTTTTATAAACTGAAAAATGTATGAAAACGTCATTTTATAAAGCTCTTTAAACCTACTTTATTTTTTATGAATAAGGCCATTAAGATTTAATAAAACAAGTTGTGGCATATTACAACTACACAGCAATTTGAAACTCTGGTCGCTTAGTTAGAAAAACATTTTTGTTTGGCCCAGGCGGTTTCAAAAGGAAGCGGCTCGAGCTAATTTTAAAGAGCAGTGGAACAAAATCTGCAAAAACTTGAATGTCCTCAAAATGAAAACAAATAAAGAAGTGTAAATTCTGGCGAAACCGAACTTTATATACCCGGCGCACGTGCAAGGGCTTTGCAAGACTTCGAGAATACCCCTATTGATTTTTCGCCTTTTTGTGAACTAAATAATAAACAAGGGTATTGTTCCCGATTACAAACAGTTTCGATAATTTCCCATATGGTAATAATCGGACCAAAGTGATCGATATTTATTTATTTTATTTATTTAGTCACGCCCATTTCCTAAAATCTATAATCTTTTTTCTTGCTAATAGATTGTTGTATTTATTTTATCGGAGTTTTCGTATTTCTGAAATTTACCGTTACATGGGAATACTTTGTTTGCGCCAGGGGCGATAACTTACCGAATTTGGTATAAATTAATAAATTGGTTAAAAAGGGTGCCCAACCCATTTTACAAAAACGTATGATGATATAATTTTCAGAAAAACATCGAGTTTGAGTGAGTTAGTAGTTTCTGATTTATCGCATTTCTGTAAATTACCGTTATATTGAAGGTTGGCGTGGTTATTGCACGATTTCCATAACTTTCAACGGGTTTCTTAGTGAGACCCTAGAGAGTTTGATGGGGGTTGGTGAAGCAGCTGAAGCTGAAGCCTGAGATACAGCTTTTCATCTTAAGTGGGCGCTGCCACTTGTCCATTTCCAGATTTCATTCATAAATACAATTTTTGCTTCATTGGTTGGTTCTTGGGCTGTTGAGAGCAACTTTAAGAGAGTAGTTTTTGCTTCTCTTCTAGCCCAAAGTCGCCCGGAAAATTTTTCCGGTCGAGTTTGTGAAAACTGTCAAACTACCAAAAGAAGAGGAAGAATGTAAAACATTCAAATTATAACCAATAAATATGTGCATATTAAGCCTTTTGACCAGACGTCCTATTTAACAGGACATGTCCTGATTTCAGGGTCGAATTAAAGTGTCCTGACTGATTTTTCTTTTCCCGCCTTATGTCCTGATTTTTACAGAGCTGACCTTTTATAAACGTTTTACCGTCTAAACATATCGTGCCTTTTGCGAGCGTCCTGATTTTTCTTTCGACTCATCTAATCTTATTTATCAACTCCAACCAACAATTTTTAACTCTGGTTTTGATGTACTTTCCGTTACTTCAATGAGTAAGTTTGTCCATATTATGTACGCTAAATAAAAGAGTACTGATCATTTCGCAAAAAACAAATCTGGCAACCCTATTATTATAATCAATGAGGAGGTAAATCTCTACTCTTTAAAAACTGATCAAAATGCAACTGTACTCTTCACCAATGAGCGATCAGGTTTTTTCTCTTGAACGCTGCTATTACAGCTAAAACTTTTTCACTTTGCTGCTAAACTTTTCTTTCTCTTTAAGTTATGATAAGCGAGTGGTTTTAAATCAATCTAAATAATAAATTTTGTTGAAGCCTTTTTTACAATTAGATGAACACAGTTTTTAGCTTTTATTACATACTACATATCCCACACCGTCTTCAAAAGAGTCACAACTCAAAATAATACGTTTGTCAGAAAATGCGAAAAACTATTCTTAGCACATAAAAGGCATATGGCAAGGGCAACTTTACCTTGGGTTTTTTTAAACAAATTATAACAAAAACTTGCTCCAGCTTTTGCTGAAAGGCAAATAAAATTTCTGCGTACATTTTCAGAGCATAATCTCAAAAACGTCAAATTTTGAGTTGTGACTCTTTTGAAGACGGTGTGCGATATGTGGATATTTTATAAATGCTATTTTTATATATTCAGAAAACCCCGATTATGAACCTCAAGTGTATTCTAAAATATGCAAAAGCCGTCAACCTATGCATCATTCTCAATATCTATCGTAAATTTGCGGCAATCAAACTATGACTTGCAATTTTTAATTACATAAAAAATAACGTAACGCATGTATACACGCATGTATATGTGTGCATATGTACACTAAAATCGAGTTTACCCAGCAAAAAATTGAACGAGCTCTTAACAATTGTGGTTCAAATTACTTTGTGCGCTAATTTCAGCGGCAGCTCTTAAGCTCTTAAGGTAATCTTAATAAAGCAAAATTATAATTTCCTTACACCGCCCTTTTCACTTATTTTTGCCGCATTGATTTTGTTTTATTTTTTCTTTAAGTAAAGTGATTTATGAACATTCGTTCTCAACATTTATTAAAGGTTTATTTGAAAAAATTTTAAATAAACCTAATATTAATCACGCTTATTTAACGTTTATTATAGCAAACTTACTTTATTATTAAAAAAAAAAAAACATTTACTGAAATGCCTGTTGGGTATAATCTTCTTGGGTACATTTTCTAATACAGAAACAAAGTTACTGTTCTTAAAAACCCCTCCTCGGATTTTGTTAACTTTTTGGAGTATTATGATCAGAGAACCTACTGATTCAATATCAAGAAGAAAATTTCATAAGTAAATACCTTTAATTTAATTCCAGATCAGCCGCACAGTGATATAAAGAATTGTAGCAGGATTATTTAAAAGTGTGTTTTTAAAGTCTTTTATATTGTTGTTAACATTTTACAGATTTATTTAGATTAACTGATATGTTTAATCGTTTGAATATAAATCCAATGCGGGTAATAATGTTGTTTGTGATGTTGATGGAACGCTTGATCTGAGCAAACTTTGTTCTTTGTCCAAAATCATTCGTCGAATTGAGATGTACATTTCATCCGCCATGTTTGAGTTTTTTTTGGCAATTCGACGAAGCGCGTTGCCAATCTCGATTCCCTTCTCGGAGAATTCATTCATTTGACTTGAAATTAATTCAGTAAAATATTTATCACGAGTATAAACCGGTTTGGCATTTAAACAGGTGCATCCCTTTTTTGTTCTTTTTGGTAGATGTTCTGCGGACACATCTGTTGTAGTACCTTCGCTGTTGGAGTTACTATTATCTTCATAGTGACTACCATCCTAAAAATAAATCAAAATACATATAATATTTTTACAGTGGGCATAACAAAACTATTTGTTTGTCAGGCATCGACTACGGAATATGAATGGAAAGAGCTATAGCCCATGATTCGACTTTTTGAATTTCGGGCGCAGTTACTTTAAATCTAATACTGCTCTCGTCAACTGCCATCGATCAATTTTCATGCTTAAAAGGGGCTTACTGAGTGGGAGTTGTACCAGCACAAGTGACTCCGAACTGTTAGGTTGCCCAAAAGAGATCGTCACACCAGAACTCGTCGATAAATCCATGGAATAATATTGGACGTTCGGAGAATGGAAGTGTGTGAGGTGGCTGAGGCTGTATGCATCTCAGCTAGGTTAGTACATCGCATTTTAGATGAATATTAGGATATAAAAAACTATCCGCGTGATGGATGGAAACATGGATCCACCACAGTACACCAAAGCAAAGTCGGTCTGTCGGACAATAATCTAATGGCCACGTTTTTTTGGAACTCACGCGGTGGCATTCTCATCGATTATCTGGAAAAGGGTAAAACAATGACTGGCGTATATTATTCAGAGATTTGTGATTTGCAGCACAAACGTCCACATTAAGACAAGAAAAAAGTGCGCGGTTCCATCAAGGCAATGTACGAGTGCATTGGGGAAAAATTCATCAATCGGGCTACGAACTCTCACCCCATCCACCATATTTAGATTTAGCAATCAACGACTATTTCTTGTTTTCAAACCCGGAAAAATCGCTGGGCGGTAAGAGATTTCGGTAGAATGAAGCGGTCATCTCTGAAACAACGCTGATTTTGAGGATGTAGAAAAACCTTTTATTTGGAAGGAATTAAAAAATTGGAAAAACGCTAAACTAAGTGTATGCCGCTAAAAGGAGATTATTATGACTTTTCAAATTGCTCTCGTAGTTGGCGCGGTTTGTGTGTTGCATAATTTTTAGGTGCTTCTTTCGAGAAATCTCTACGCACCGAAGTTGTTCATTCAAATTGATTCCAAAAGATAACTGAAAAGTCACACTAGGTTCATAGCGAAATAATTCATGCAAGAATTTTATGCGTCGTTGAACTTGTTATCACCACAAAATCTATCATGCAATGCATAAAATATATTGAAAAAATTTTAGAACTTTTTCGTTGAACCTCAGGGAGAGAAGTGTCATGGCAATACAAAAAGTGTGGAATATAAAATAATTTATGTAAGTACTATAAGAAAATGCTTACCAAATTATCTGCATTACCCGCTTCTTCGGTAGCTTCACATTGAAGAAATCTTAAAGAACTCATAAATCTCCACTCTCTCTTTCTCACAGTTTTAGTTTGCTTTTCTTTCTGCAAATACTTAAAAAATGTTTGACGCATGCCTATAAATAAATATATCAAATGAGTAAATTTATTGCATTTTTATCAAAAACACGTATGTACATACTTCGCCAACGAGCTTGCACTTCAGTTTCCTGACATTCAAGAGCCTTTGCAATTTTTTTTAGTGATGCATCTGTAACATTTCTTTTTGCGTGATTCGGATCGGCTCTCTTCCACAAACATGGCTGTGCTTCAACGAGTTCGAAGAGATGCAAATACTTCCTATCGGGCCATGTCTATTTTCATATTATTCAAATAACATATTTATTATTCTAAAAAAAAAAAAACCAAATCTAATATGAAATGCACAATTACATACCTGCATGTCTTTAATTTTTTGCTTATTTGCTGCTTGTCGTGGGCCTGATTCGTCCATTTTAACCGCATCAACACAAAAATACACAAGAAATGTAAAATAAATGTGAGACGGATTGTTCTCACCAACATGTTGAAAAGAGTAAATATAAGTCATGAGAACGATTTCGATCATGAGAATAGTCCAATACTATTTATTTACAGGAGCATAAGAATAGTTCTTATGAGAATTTAGATTTTTTATGAGAATAAATTCTCGTTGCTATTTGCAAGATTATCCGGTATAAAATCAGTGTTATGACACCACTTTCACGAGAAACAGAAAAATCTATCTAGTCATAGAAAATATACTTTGTTTCGTTTTTATACATACGCATGTATAGTATTGGGTGATCCATATTAGACCTTTTTAATTTAATTTCAAATAAAACACTTAAAACATAACTGGGTGTTGGAATATTTATTATCGCCCGAAAGGACCTTCTCTGAAATTTACTTTTTTAAATAATTTCATTCAAATGTTGGCCGCAGACAGAACATAATCTTCAATAACGAGCATGCCGCACCTTTATAACGGACTTTTAGCTGCCTGAAATTGAAGCGCGTGATGTTGGCAACATTTGGAAATTATTTTAAGGAAGTAAATGTCAAAACTGTTCTTTCGGGCAATAATAGAGATTCCGACGTTCAGTTCTGTTTTAAGTATTTTATTTAAAATTAAGAAAAGGTCTAGATGGATCACTCTTTAAATAGGTAAATTAATTGTTTATCTCAGCAATATTAAAATATTTTTTTTGATGTGTAAATATCTTAGCTCCCAGCTAGGCGAAATTTCCTTCTAGCCTCATTGTAAACTATGCGGTCGTATGTTCGAGTACCATGGTCAGTAGATTATTCATTCAATTTTTATTTTTTTTTTATTATTCAATGATAATGCAATAACAATGGGACAATTTTTTTCGAATCTTCAAAACCCGTAAAAACTTAAAACCTTTTTAGAAATATCTTGAGTATGCAGTCTTATAGCTCAATCAAATTTAGTAGATCACGGTGCAAGTTTGAAGTAGCACCATACAAAGTATTATGGTTGGACGATTTTTTTATATGGAAGAAAATGAACTACGCCTTCAACAAAAAAAAAAAAATGCCGAAGCTCATTATTGCACTAAAATTGAATAGACTACAAAACTGCATACTCAAAATCATTCTGAAAATTTTTACGAATTTTAAAAATTCGAAATAAATAGATCCCATTATAGGACTAGGCTTAAAAGTTGTGGAATAGATGACAGTTTGTTACAAAAAAATTTGAAGTATGTAAATCGATAATTAACTACGGGGAAAAGTTTTTTGTTTCAAAAATCGATATCTCGAAAACCCCTCGTAACCGCGTAAACCTCGTAAATAAATCGATTTTCCATACAAAATTAAGGAAGTTTACAAGGTTTACATGGTTACGAGATATTTACGCGTTTTGGTGAATTGCCCTATTACAAAAAAATGGGACATTCAAAAGCTGGATAGGATTGGTTCCCAAGCCGCGCCTTCTCGCATTGTTTCAGTTCAGTGAGGATTTGCGATATTCAAAATACAATTGAAGATATTAAATAGACATTTCAAGTTGATGTCGCCGAATGAAAAAGGGCGCAAGAAAATAGAAAATTTTGACAATCATACGCTACTCAGAGCTGAAGAAACAACACCACCTTATATAAATTCGCCTTGGCACACATTTGGCGCATTTATCAGGCATAGCTCCCTTCGATTACTATTAATTTCGTTCGTTTGAGCCCTTTCTAGATTCCCTTGATTCTACATTAACGAAACTTAACTTCAAATTCCCTCCGAAGATGAAAGTTATTAAACGGTTATTACCACATTACCATTGAATATATCTTGGGAAGACCTTTGATGTTTGAAAACCCGTGACTATCGCGAATGCTATGCAAATTTGTATTCCAACTATTTGATGTTATACATCCTTTCACTGCAATCATCCAAGGACTGTTACTACCTCTGGTCACTTTGTAATTGGTATTGAGGAGCACGCTTCCCTTTATGTGGAGCGCTTTTGGGTTTTCGCAAAAACATACATATATGTATGTATATATATAAATAAACAATAATATATAGTATAATGCATATGCACATGCTTATCATGATATGACAACTACTCTTAATCATATTTTTTTTGCTACTTTTTTTTACTCGCATTCTTTATCATATTGAGAGCATGCAAGTGAGTGCTCCCAATCAACCGGTGGTTACTACTTGAGACACGGTTACGGTAATAATGAGAGTCAACAAATGTCGATGGGGCTCAAGTGAAATGTTTACACGTACATATGTACGTATGTATGTATGTATTTCCATTGATACTGGCCATTAAAAAATTATTGTTGTTATTGGTGGCTCTTGGATACCCAAAAAGGCGGATCGCCGGCAACACAAAAAGGTAGAACCGCTGAACAGCTCAACCAGTTGGTGCGAGTTGCTCGAACGCGTCGGTTGGCTTTTTCCAAAGCTCTTTTTCGCTGTCATTCAGTGTTTTTAGCGCAATTAATTTGGTGGAAACGAAAGTGTGTTCAACTTATAATTTGTATTTTTCAAATTAATTCAAAAAGGTAATAGAAGCGTGAAATTTTGTTTTAAATCACTATTGGCATGTGTTTTTGTGTGGTTGTACTAATTTAAGTAAGTGTGTGCTGAGAAAGACAAATAAGCATACAATTTAATGTGCCAAATATTTTGAGCAGTGAACGAATCTGGTATGGCTCTTGGTCGAAATGAGCATAAGCTTGGATGATCGTACGCAAGCCAACTCTTGCAAGGAGAGTTGATGAAAAGAAATGCGTTTTCATGGTATAGTCATACATATGCATGTATGTATGTATGTATAGGCAAAATGGCACAGCGGCAAATGTGTCGAAAATCTCCGGAACAAACGTTTTGCAAATTTTACCGATGACACGCTGTAAAGTAAAAAAAAACCAAAACAATAAAAATAACTAACGGTCAAAATCAATTGTCTACGAAGATTCTAATTGAAATTCACTGTAATCGTCACTATGTGCATGTTCACGACTTTTATTTAAAATTACAAGTGGTTTGCTGTTAAGTGGTTTTCAGCAAAAGGGCCATTCCATTACGACCGGTAGAACGGCCATTTGACTTCAAAATATGATCAATTGTGAATTAAACCTATGTCACCGGAACTTCTAGAACAGTGAAATATATGTTTTAGCATAGATAGATAAATAACTAATGTATAGAAGTTCTTTAAAAAAATACCAAAGCACTCAAAGGTGATTTTTTAGCCAAATTACTTAATTTTCAAAGCCAATTAAATTTTGTGTTGTAAAATTCATATTATCCGCTTTCCTTTTCACTAAAACTTAGGCTGATACAAGCTTCATAGAAATATTAAAAAGTATTTAAAACTGTGACTGGTGGGACAGGTTCCTTGTGACTTTTGTAAAGTAAAAGTTTCCATAGACAAAAATTACACCTATTTTTTAAATATTTTTCAGCAGAGTAATGAAATGTGGTGATTGGGATAATTAAAGCATTTTAAAAATTTCATGTCGTTTTCCTCTTTTACATGTTTTTGTTCGAGGGAAGATTTTTTAAGCACTCAACCATATCTTTTTATATACATACATACAAGCTATATAAAAGAAGCAGCAAATAGTGATGAATGCGTTACTAGATTGTTCTGTATATGTATATGTACATTATTTGCCTTATTTTCTCCATACATTTTGCTAAAGTATTTCAGATCCTCCCTGCGGCAGCAGAATATGCAAATAGGACGCTAAAGACCTAACAAAATGGAAAAACAATTTCATTATTGCAAAAACTGAATGAGCTACACCGAAAACCGCGATTTATAAGACTGTTTTGCTATAACTTTAGATCCTTATATGAAAACACATTCATCTTACACATGAAAAAAAAAATATCCAACCTCAGGAAGAATAAGCCGCTAAAGCGAATGGCGTACTCAGTTTTTTAATACAACTAACCAAAAAGTTACCCACACGGCCTAAAGTGACAATTTGGTACTATTTTTCACGAATTTTAAAATTTATTCGTTAGGATTTTCCAGATAGTAGTAGTTTTTCCAAAACTAAAATATTTAAAATTGTAGCTAATTTAATGTAGTTTTTAAAAAAGTGAGCAGATTTTACATCGAATTATATTTGAACTAGTGAATTAGGCTTAAGTGAAGCCATGTTGAAAACCACTTTCAAACTTGACAAACATCGTCAAAAATTTAAAAGCCAAAGCAGAAGTGGATAAAACTGTCGTAATGTGGAATACTTTAATCTATATTCACGACTGATAATAACATTATTATCTTACATAATCAAAAAAATAGACAATACTGATGAAAGCGATAATGGAGAAAACGACAAAGACTAGTACTTACTTCCTAATTGGTAGGTTCATTAATTTAATACGTATAAAGAAAAGTGCACTTAATTTTAACTACAGAGGAAACACTGCGCAATTTCTCGAAATCAACGTTGCCTACTTGGGAGCACGTTCTGCGTCGGCTAATTCACCTTCGTAAATACAAAAAAAAAAATACAAAAAAAAACAACACAAACACATGTTTTGAGGCATTATTTGTGGACGCATCAAAGTACACAAATTTTTTGGAAATTGACTCCAGTCGATGGATAAACAACTAAAATTGTTTACGCGCTGAAGCAATAGTGAAAAAAATTATTGCAACAAAGTTAAATGAAAAAGTAACCACTTCCGAAACAGAGAAGCAGATAGTTTTTAAACTCGTAGAGGCGCATCAGAAAGTGTTTCCCTACCTAGCATCCAAAAACGACATTGTTAAAAATTTCAAAAAAATTTAAAGTATGTATGTCAGACATGGCTTTACGTAAATCTAATTTATTAGTTCAA